CAACAATAATCAATTGAATCATGAAATTAGGCACAACAACCAAAACCCTTCAAATCAAAATCAAAGTGTGCAGAAACATAACAAATCAATTGATTCAATAATAAATTCAGTAAATCAGAAATAAAATTGATAAAATTAGAAAAGGAAAGAGAAATCTTACAAGCCGCTTCAATGGAGGAGAGAAAGCTCACCAGCCGCTTCAATGGAGGAGAGAAAACTCACCAGCCGCTTCAATGGAGGAGAGAAAACTCACAACTTCACAAGCCACTTCAATGGAGAATCCAGAGACCAGAGTACACTTCAATGGAGGCGAGAAATCTCACGAGGTGTTTAATGGAGAATCCAGAGAACGCTGCAATGGTTGGGTGAAAGCTCCCTAACCGCTTCAATGGAGGATTCAGCGTATGCTTCAACGGAGGAGAGAGAAAATTGGGAAAATAAAAGTAAATGAAGTCATTCAAGTTGTGAAGGGAAAGTAAAGGCCCAAATCCAATTTGGCCCAAATTTTATTGTTTGAAATGAAATATGGAGTAGGGAGTATTTATGATTGAAAGTAATAGTAGCCATTTGTTTTTATTAGGTCCACTATAAAATTTTTACACTTATAACTTTTTCTTATTCTTTATTTATTTTTATTCATTTATTCTGTTTCAAATATTCCACCACTTTACCAATTATTTTAATAAGTTTAATCAAAGTCTCCAAAGGTGCTCAAGAAATATTGAAGGTCATTAAACATAGAATTCTCTATGTATTACAAGAATATTCAATTATGGTTTCATCATACTCAATCCCGACTCGGCAACAACCCCTCATAATAAGGGTCCAAGTAAGTCGCTTTCTTATTATGAACCTAATAAGTTTCAATCGGGTTTAGCATGTGACATATTCAGTTATTCACTTAATGTCGATCGGGTAACATTCGACGAGCGCACATATAAAATTTGGTCCAAAGTGGAAATTGTTGGTATGACCCAAATTTGATAAGCACATTATTTTGGTGGAGTATTGTGCATATTCGAGAGGATTTCGGAATCTCTAAAATAATATCCTACTTGAATGTTCTAGAGCATTATTGACATTGGAAGCTATTAGCTAGAATATAATACATGGTTCATGAATTTTCTAAAACGTTATGGATACAAGAATGATGGAGGAATTTCTAGAATATTCTTGCCAATTCTTCCATGCTCCATCCACACCTATAAATATAGGTCATGGGCATTCAAACATTGAAAAACAACACAACACAAGAAGCCATACCAAACATAAGTCTTCCTATATACCAGTGGCGGATCTAGAAATTTCAAAATGGGGGTGCAAAATTAGGGTCTGTTCTCATACGTTTATTTTCAGTTCAGCTCAGCTCAGTTTAATTCAGTTCAGCTCAGCTCCTAATTTCCTTCTCTTATAAAATATTCATTTTAGTTCAGCTCAGCTTAGCTCAGTTCACCTGATTTCAATTTATTAGAACGGGCCCTTAGATGTTGATTGATATTGTTAATGTTTTTCATAATGTTAATGTTTTTACTTGCTAGTTCTTATGTTATCTACATACATCCTCGCTCCGTTCCTTTTGTAATAATAATATATTGATACGAATCTTTAAAAAAAAAAGCCCCAAATGACTATATTTTGATTTACGTATAAATCACAATTTATGGTTGTAAAAGATTATATGAATATTGTCAAAAGTTTACACAATAATATTTATAAAACAGAGAAATAAAATGTTGGTTTTTGTAGGAATTATGAAAAATATGTTAATTTTAATTCAATAAGAATAATTTAAATTCATTAAAAAAAATTGATACCACAAAATATTTAGAATTTATTTTTATTGCTTAGTTTTGTCGTTTACAAGATCATGTAATGAAAATGGGAGAGCAAAAACTATTAGAATATAAATTACATATTATACTTTATCCATAAATTTCATTTAAAAATATGTAAGTGCTCCCCTTGGAAGCCAAATGCATCCGCCAGTGCTATATACTACACCTCTTTGTACAATTTTTTTTTTTTTTTTTTTTTTATAAATCCACTATTTTCAATGTAATATTGTAATATAAACCCTTAAAAGAATATGTACTCTCCTATTTTCAAATAGTAGAATAAAAGAGCTCATTGTTACATAAAATGTTGTGTTCATTTATATTAATTATATTGCCAAATTATCAATTCAATCTATACTTTTCAATGAAACACATCCTCACTTCCAATGTGCACTCACCAACCCTAACAAGTTTAATAAACACAAATAAAAAATTAATAATAAAAAAGAAAAAAAAAAACAAAAAAAAGAAACGTTGGTAGACAAAATCTTGAAATTATTGAATATCATGATACATCAACCCAATATGAATCATTAGAACTCTCGGCCTTGATCATCGACTACAACATGTAAATACATGGAGATTTGCAAATTCAACAATTGACGCTGACCCGTGATGACAGAATATAATATAATATGATTAACATCGTCTAGAAATCAAGTTTTTCCTTCGAATCAATAGCGAAAAGGCCAGAAACTATGTGAACTTGATGAAACAGTACTGAAATGATAAAGAAGGGAGCTCCTTGTATGGTGAATTTTTAAATTTGTTTGAGAAAGAAGAAAGAGAAACAGAGGAAATAGAGAAAAAGAATTAATTTGTGTATTGAATGAGTATTTTGGAAAAAGAATTAATTTGTGTATTGAATGATTATTTTGTTATGTTTATTACAATGATTATATTAGTGGAATCCACATCATTTTCCACTCACAATTTACCCAATTATTCTAACTAACTCTTCACTTAACTAACTCTTCCACTAACAAAAAAAACTATTAACACAACAGAAACATGATTATTTTCTATCCATTTACATCTAGCTAACAACAAGCTGTATCACGACCCCACCGTCTCCTCGTATGATTTGACAATCTTTGACGAAAAGCTGATAATAATATGGAGTGTTGAAATTTCGAATTACCGATCATATTAAAGGAATTAAATTTTCTGAATTTTCTTGTTTTTCAAAGATCGAATTTAGCAGGGGTAGATAGGGCATCTATATTTATAGGAAGGAGTATGGTATTTGGTCGGCTTTTTTATTTTTATCTTATTCTTTGACGAGGATACTCATCATATCTTAATACGAAATACTTTTTTTGAGGGAAGTTTTTATCTAATACAAGTACTTTGTAAGTAATAGTTGTCGGCCCGCCCAATGTGATTTCGTCTCCGTGATTAGTGTATGATTAGTCGTAATTTATGTGTTAATGTAATTGGTTGCGTTTTGTTTGTCGATTTTCTTTTGCTCTGATTGGTTAGTGTATTATTATATGTGGCCAGCCTTAAATTTAATTTGGCTAATGATCACTTTAGCTATAGTAAATAATGATGCAGACGAGGCCAAAGTGGATAGCAAGATAGCTTTGTTTACTATTACATTGGATGACACACAGAAAACACATGATGTGAGTATTGCTGAGAATGTTGCTAACTGTATTGATGAGCCGGATAAACCTCAACAAAATTTACAATTGACTGCCAGTTAGGAAGATGTAATTTGGGTCAATTGTTATGATTACTGTGTAATTAGTCAATGCTATATGCGTAGATTATTTCTAATGTTTTATTGGTAACGAAAATAGGTAAAGTTGTTAGCGTTGATCAATGATGAAATTTAATGGAATAGATTGTTCTGCTAAGAAATTAATTAATGTAATATATATGTGTGTTGATTAATGTGTATTGTGTTATGTATTACTAAAGTGGTTGAAAGGATTAAGTTGTTTTTTCTTATAATTATATTAACTATATTAATTATGGAAATAATAAACTTGTTGCTATTATTGTTGTTAAATTGTTTTGAAAGAGTTATAAAAGGCTACTAGCATTTTAATAGTTATAATGATTTAATAATTGGTAATAAGGGTAAAAGAATTGTTTATTATTTTTTGAGATTTTGTTAAAGAATAATGATTTATTAAAAAAAAAAGGTTAAAGAAAAAATCTCTTTAAAAAAGGAAACATTTCTGCCTATGATAATTTAAGTTTTAATTAAGAATAAGAGTAAGACATCTTGTACGTACATTTCTTGGATACTTTATAACCTAACTTTTCGGAAAAGGAAAATGAAATAAATTGCAAATATTTGTAAAAAGGTATAGAGGCAAAGGATATTGTAGATAACCATTATCACTTTCCCTCCTTTGTTCCTTCTCTCCTTCCTTATTTAATGATACAACAAAATTTACATAGATAATCCATACCCCCCCCCCCCCTTCATAGTTCTCCTCCTCACCCTTTTCCATCTTCCTTTACATTTTCACACTTAATGATTTTACAATAATTAGAATCTTTTCCATCTTCCTTTAAATATTCACACTTATTTAGAATATTTAGAACCTAATTCTTGATTACATACTAAAGATGGTCCTTGATTTATAGAGTTTTTCATCTCTCTTTTCCAGAAGCCCATTGCAATTTTTATTTCTTCAATACACATTCTTAATTCCTCTTCATTTCTCTGTTCCATGTCTTTTAAGTCTCTTCTTTAATTAAACACTAAGAATGGTATTTTGAAGTAGTGTTTCTCATCTTTTTCTTTCTTTATTACCCTAAAACATCTCTCAGTCTCTCTCTTTCCCTTTATCTCCCCCTTAACATGGCTATTGTTGACCCTAAGTTTTGATGATTACTCAAGGAACCTAAGCAAACTCATATAAGTTAAACTTTCGTTTTTAGCTTTGATTGATGCCAGGTTATTGCCGAGCTAAACTAAAGTATTATTTAAAGGGGTATACTCAGCTCGGCAAGTCACAAATTGTCAAATCGATCTGTATGTTCTGTAATGATTACTTGTTTCACATGACCTATTTTAGCTGGTTTTGTACCCTTTCGATTCTCCTTACTGATAGACACAGTTGATGATGACTTATCTGTAAGTCTTACAACAGGAATGGATCTCTTCTCTCCTTCAATCGGAGGAATCCATAGTTTCATAGGGCATTTTGAAACGAAGAGAGAGAGAGTAAGATTATGACAAAACCGATTGCCAAGCAACATTTTACAGGAGACCAAAAGAAGGAATCTACACATACATTAAGTGAATTTGGAGGTATACTTGCTTGCATTGGTATTACAAGTATTCCAGCATCTAGAATCAATTCGAGCTCCCTTTGTACCACAGACCCAGAAAGATCCGGTTGGTATGATAGCCCAAGCTCCGAAGATTCTCCAGGTTTCAGAGAAAAAACCTGGCAATTATGTACAACAAAACCATCCAATCCACATTCTCTTCCTGAGACATCTATTCTCTTGACATTGACAGGGTAATCACCTGCATTAAAAGCAAAGACCTTCTTTAATAATGGCTTACGACAGGCAGATATAGCATCCTCATAGTTGGATATATTTAGAGGATAGTTCATAGTAAAATCCAATCTTTGCACATGTTCTGAACCCTTGAGCAAGACTAAGGAAAAGAATCCACCCGATCCATGCAGAGATAATATCTCCAGACCAGAAAGATTACTCTTTATGAACGCCGAGCTCTTCCATTCACATATATCTGAAGGATGAAAATAGATAGGACCCAATCATGCTGTGCCATTTGGATGTAGAAAGGCCTCTGTAACTATACCGTCTGCTACTGAAAACCCACACATACTCATCCTGGTGGAATCATTACAGGTAGAGCTACTTGCAGAAGGTGTCTGTTGATGACCATAACAGGTTTGCAATTATCAACAGTTTCTATTGAGTTTAGTATAAGCTGCACTACAACAGGTTGCTGGCTGGGATTTCTGACCGTAATTGACTTATCATAATATTTCCCAACTGGGAGCAACGGGAGAAAGAGCTCCTGGTTGTCAAGAAAATAGCGCCCACTCATTGAGCTCTGAGTTCTCCACTCTTCATGAAAAAATTCATCTTTCACTACACCATCCAATGCCTTCATGTAGCAAAAAAGATAGTATTATATATTTATTGACAGGAAAGTTTTATTACTCAAACATGGAAAAGCAAACTTATAAGAGCATATAGATAAGAAGGGGTACACAGAAAACATAGGAGCATAGAAAGCGACACCTAAAAAGTTGAAACAACTTCACCGTCATGTTTTTTTACATTTGGGGCAACATGGTTTCCAAAAATAATATTTTGTAAAGCATAACCATGAATTAATTCTGTAATTTGCTTGGTAGGTCCTGCATAATCATCTGCTAGATGAGCAAGATGATCCTTTAGCCCTTCAAGCTACTGAAAAACCTTTTTATGATGCATTGGGTCACAAAATACCCCCTTCCCCTAATCAACACCCTCTCATTGATCATGATGTTGATAGCCTGGATGACCGGCCTTGGAGCTCATCTACTGATACTATTTTAAGAAAATCTAAGTGGTTGCCATCCAATGCCTTCATGTAGCAAAAAAGATAGTATTATATATTTATTGACAGGAAAGTTTTATTACTCAAACATGGAAAAGCAAACTTATAAGAGCATATAGATAAGAAGGGGTACACAGAAAACATAGGAGCATAGAAAGCGACACCTAAAAAGTTGAAACAACTTCACCGTCATGTTTTTTTACATTTGGGGCAACATGGTTTCCAAAAATAATATTTTGTAAAGCATAACCATGAATTAATTCTGTAATTTGCTTGGTAGGTCCTGCATAATCATCTGCTAGATGAGCAAGATGATCCTTTAGCCCTTCAAGCTACTGAAAAACCTTTTTATGATGCATTGGGTCACAAAATACCCCCTTCCCCTAATCAACACCCTCTCATTGATCATGATGTTGATAGCCTGGATGACCGGCCTTGGAGCTCATCTACTGATACTATTTTAAGAAAATCTAAGTGGTTGCCATCCAATGCCTTCATGTAGCAAAAAAGATAGTATTATATATTTATTGACAGGAAAGTTTTATTACTCAAACATGGAAAAGCAAACTTATAAGAGCATATAGATAAGAAGGGGTACACAGAAAACATAGGAGCATAGAAAGCGACACCTAAAAAGTTGAAACAACTTCACCGTCATGTTTTTTTACATTTGGGGCAACATGGTTTCCAAAAATAATATTTTGTAAAGCATAACCATGAATTAATTCTGTAATTTGCTTGGTAGGTCCTGCATAATCATCTGCTAGATGAGCAAGATGATCCTTTAGCCCTTCAAGCTACTGAAAAACCTTTTTATGATGCATTGGGTCACAAAATACCCCCTTCCCCTAATCAACACCCTCTCATTGATCATGATGTTGATAGCCTGGATGACCGGCCTTGGAGCTCATCTACTGATACTATTTTAAGAAAATCTAAGTGGTTGGTTAGTGATTGTGGATCATATCTATCTTGCTTTAGATTGCTGCTATGTATTATGTGTGTGTACGATTGTTTTAACAAGACTCAGTGACTATTTTAATATGTTATTATGCTGTTTGATTCCAATTATGCATTCTGAACTTTGATACATGTGATTATTCCCTTTCAATGAGTTGGTTTATGAGCTTTATTCTATAAGTTACTCTTCAAGTGACTTCTTAAGCAAGGCACCTGGTAATTAAGGACCAAAAGATTCCTTATCAGCAAAAAATATATCAATCAAAATGGGCAACATAAATTAATAACTCAAAGCACAAAATCAGATGCCATTAGATAAAGCCAAACTTGGAGTTCCTTCCCCTTCTTGTTAAATATCTTCACACAGTTGAAACCCATAATTTGATTTCTCAATTTATGAAGAATATGCTCTTGTCAAAGTATACTATATAAGCTCACAGCACACATCTTCATGACATAGTTCCCAGGAATTAATTCATTTTGATTTTGCTATTGACTGGATGTGGTGCAAAGACTGCAAACAAAAGCCTTTGATGGTAACTTGCATACAAATTCATGCTAGAATGAATTGATTAAACTATACAAAACTCTTCATAATTTGGCAGCGTAATCATTAATTTAACGTAACAAAATATTAATACTATTCTTTGTCAAATAGCTTATCAAATTTGCATATTTAATTTTATGTGTTGTGGTTGCTTCTAAAATTCAGAGGAGTTTAGATTATATATATATTGTTAATGGATCCATGAAATTCAACATAAAATTCTTGCATGCCATCATCCATCTATCATCTCCACTTTATAGTCAATCATCATCGTAGTCCATAAAAATTTAACAATATTAAACACACCCAAGTTTTAATCCAAATTCATGATGAAAATATTACACAAAATCAATCAAAAATAAATTAATTCTGGGTATTTACAGTTTCATCAGGGCCCTCTCACGGCGCTAGCTAGGAGCATAATTTTTACTTATATATATAGTAAACAATCAGGCATCAAATTGAATGCATCTATACTTACTACACTTCTTTACTTTCCCTTATAGGATTCTTCACAATCAATCAAACAATAAACCCAATCAAAAATAAATATAAATATCAGTATCAATATCAAAAGGTTAAGATCAAACATTAGATATGAAACAAATAAACAATCCAAACATGTCAACGCTATAAGTATCATACCCCCTCTCCCTAAATACAAAGAATAAGTCAAGTCTAGTTGTCCACAGCATGTCAGCACTTTTGTCCATGCCTCCACAGCATGGTCCTAATTTAAGGTAATAACACTAATATCAAAGCCTTAAGAATCCTTAACCTCTAACTGCAGAGATGCTGCTTTCATTAATCCTTAGACTAATACCTTAAAAATCTAAAGTAAAACAAAACATAAGCAATTTACCTGACATGCCGATCATCACTGTAAGAATATTTTACAGCAACAGATTAAGCATTCAGCTCATCCCTAATCTGTTTAAACAATGAATATTAACAATGTCAGAAAACAGATAATTACAGCAAGGGCAGCTAACTATGCAAAATAAACAAACCCCGAGCTATGAGAGCCCAGTAGAAATCGAAAACATGGTAATAAAAAGCAAAGCATAACAAACTACACAAAACTAATACTGTTGACCTCTCTTAACTTGTATAAAATATAGAGGTTATCCAAACTATGGCAAATTGGCAATCAATGATAGTCAAAACACTAAATTTCACAGAAAATCACTAATAATTCAAATTTCAGAGAGATGTCATCAATAAATGGTGTTAACTAGGGTAACAAAGTATCCCAAATAGCTCTGAAAATAGTGAAAAATCAATAAAAGCCTCCCAAATGAATAGTTTGAGCATAAACTCGAATCAATTTTCCAAAATCAAAAGGGTAACAAAATTAAAAGAGAACCCACCCCAAATTAATCATCAGTTTCAATTATAACCAAATAGAATTGAAATTAAAAAATCTAGCAGTTACCCAAACAATTCAATCAACCCCACATCAAACAATCCCTTAAATCCCCAATCAAAACAATCAATTAGATTGCAAAAAATACAGAAAATCTCACCCATATCCATGCTCATAATAAGGTAAATTAAAGAGAAGGGTTTCAACACCATCGAAAACCCAAGCATCCTTTCCATCGCCGGAAACATTAGCGCGGATTCCAACTCATCTCCGGCGAAAACTTCCGAATCCAACAAGTAACGGTCACTGGTTAATCAAATCATCGGGTTGAATGGCTCCCAATTTCCGGCATCGCCTGTTTAGAAGGAAAACTGACATCTTTCGCAGAACAGTTGGTCACATACAAATTGTGAGTTTCGAGCCTCAAAAGATCTCATTAACAAAGCTGCAACCTAATTCAATTAATTAGATATTTTAGATTGACAATGGAAAAGAGATTCGGATGAACAAATGAAAATCCGATAATTCAATTAATTTGATATTTTAGATTGAGAAAAACTTACTCCGTACAAAAGAATTGAAGCCATACAAGTTGGTACTTGGAGGAGCAAATTAGTGGAAGGCATGATTGATTTATTGCTTGCTTTGCTCTGATTCGATTGAAGAAAGTCTAGAGCAGTTGAAGAAGAACTCTTCAATTGAGGAGAGAGAAAGTGAATGAAGAGAGAGCAAACACATGGACACCAAGTAACGAAGGAAACTAAAAAGACAATCCTACCCCTGGAATTTTGGTGCTTCAGCAAGGGAGACAAAGGGCAGGGGTGGTATTTTCCTGTTCCTAACGAACAGTAAATTTGGAGTATTTTTGGTGCTACAGTAGATGAACTCCGGACTTATATAAGAGTTACAGATATAAACAATTCTTTTAATCAGTAACGAATCGATTCAATTAAATCCTAAATTTCATGATTACGTACAAATCAATCTGCCCATTATATATTATAACTAATAACTAGTGCTACCTCCAATTAGCTTGTTACAAATCAATTTAATTCTATTTTAAGTAACTAGTACTACCATACTTACTATAATAATAGTAATAGTAAACTAAAACCCTAGAATAGAAGTGAGAAAAGAGTATAGAGTAGGTTTTCACAAAAAAAAAAAAAAAAAAAAAAAGTATAGAGTAGGTGGACACGTTTATTAATATCCTTCAATTCTTCATTCATATAGCTCTTTTAGTCATTAGCCAAATAACTAAACCCCTATTCTATATTAACCGTACCATACCATACCCCACCCTCTTTTCTTCTAATTTTTTAACACCCCAAACAGAGTACTATATACAAGTATACGATTTTTTGCTTAATTTATGTCACCCCAACTATGTCCTTCCGGATTAGGTTGTTTATTTCGATGGGGTGATCGTCGAAATAAACCACCCTCTCCTCAAGGACGACTCCTAGGTTAGCCAATCTATCAGTTGCATTATTACCTTCCCTAAAGCAATGATTAAAAGAAATTACAAAAAAAACTTGACTATTTTACGACAATTATTCAAAATGTGGACGCATTCAATTCGCCTCCTTGCTGATAAGCAGCATTCTGATGGCTTTGATACATGCTTGGTTGTACATTTGTTTTGCTAGCTTCATGATGCCCTTGTCAATAGCCATTCTGTAAACTTAATTCTAGAGCTAGCAACTCAGTTTTATATGCATTACACCTTCCAAAATGTGCAGTGAACGCCATGATAAAAATCCCAGCAGCATCCCTTAGAATACCACCACCACCTGTCATGCCTGGTGAGCGCTTGGCAGCACCATCTGTGTTGAGGGCTATCCAGAGATACGGAGGTGCAGTCCATCTGATGAAAATTTCGTGCTTCTGCTTCCTGCCATGTATTCCCGGATTGAGCAATTGAAGCTCAGAATTATGAGCTTTCCACATCTCCTCAACTCTATCCCTTATGAAGTGTCCTATATCCAAGGGTATGTCCTCTCCTCTGCCAAATACTAGACTATTTCTCCACCTCCAAATCCACCATAGAGTTGTTGCAAAACAAGTAGGACATTTCTAGTATATTAGACCATCTGCGCCGAGATTTCTGATCAGCCATTGAGTAACATTTCCATTGAAAAAGGAAGGATACCAAGCTGTCCCACCAATACTCTGCCAAATGTTTAATAATTTTGTGATATCGTCATAGTAAATTTCAGCTGCCCGATTGTTGATTGAAGCTCGAAGATGTCACTGAAGCTAGAACTGGTTCGCTTAATCAAAAAAGGTATGTAAATAGAATATACAATGTAAGCGTATTTGAATTATCTGGGTGTTTTGCGATATTGATGTTCATGTATTACCCAGTTACAGAATTGTAGGGTAGTGGTAATTGGTATTGTTGGGGTGTTGAATCTGCTCATTTATATGTTTTTCATATTTTCAGATTGATGGACTTCGACTCTTAAATCTGAAAATCCGTTAATTGTGTTTCCTAGTTGTTTCTTCCTGAGTGCTGAATTTAAATACAAAATGTCGACATAACATGTTTTTTTTCCTTTAGTGTACAATTAAACAAAAAATTACGGTCTTCCTTTTTATTGTTGCATTATCTGTACAATTGCATTTTCTTTACATTACAAAGTTATGGTGTTCCTTTTTAGTGTTGCATGTTTTATTTTATGTGCAATTGCATTTACTTTACAATAGTACACAAAGTTTGGTGTCCTGTTTTATAGTTGCATTGTCTGTACAATATTACAAAGTTATGGTGTCCTATTTTATAGTTGCATTTTTTGTTCAATATTACAAAGTTATGGTGTCCTATATAAGTGTTGCATTATATGTAGAATTACATTTTCTTTACATAAAAACAAAGTTAAGGTGTCCTATTTTTTTGTGTCCTAACTTGTGATGGTGAACCTTGATTATTAATGAGACCTCCTATAATGTTCAGATAATGGAGGAACTAGATAAGGGAAGTGTAGTGGATGTCTGTGGTATAGGTGTGGAAGTAATGCCACCTAAAGAAGGAGATGATGGTTGTTTGGAAGTTGGGAACTCTCTTGACATGCAATGTATGGACCTAATTGCACATGCATCTAAACCAACAACAATTGAAGATGGACCTGATGGTTGTGTTCCTGGTGGTAAAAATTGTTATAGGACCCCTACCCGTACAATTCAGACTGTGCACACCGTTGTATCTAGTAACAAAATTAGTGTTGTTAGTGTAGTCGAGGAACCTAAGGAGGACATGATTTTTAAAACTTGGCAGGATGTTGAAGCCTATTATAAGGAATATGCTGAACAGATGGGCTTTGGTGTCAGCAGGGTTCAAGGTTCTTTCTCTAAGAAGGATAGGGAGAGGAGGGGGACTACATGGAGGTGTGAATGTTGGGGGAGACCGGACATGAGAGCAGCGAGAGCGGCGAAGAAGAGGGCTAAATCAATGGAAGTTGCTGGCTGCAGTAATTTAGTTGGAGGGGTTATTGCGGAGAATGAGTTGAATCGTTGCAAAAGAAAGTCCAAAAAATGTGAGTGTGGTGCTAAGATTTATGCTAGTGTTAACGAAGATGGTGACTGGAAGTTGAGATCTGTTATTTTGGAGCACAACCATGATTTAATCCCCAAACGGAGCGAAGTTGGTGAAAAAGTATAGAATGAAGCAGCTGACATCCACTGTTAGGAAGAGGTTGATCAATTATTATGATGAGGGGGTACCCGTGTCTCGTTTCCATGGCTGCACAACCCTTGAAATGGGAGGGGTTGAGAACATGTCTATGACGGTGAAGGATTTCCAACATGAGGTTTACAAGGAGCGTCACCTTAAGATGGAAGGTGGGGATGCGACTGCTATGATGTCATACTTTGAGTATATGATGGCCGATAGTCAGAATTTTTTTCATGCTAATCGCTTAGATGATGAAGGTCGGTTAAAAGATGTGTTGTGGGTTGATGCTCGTAGTCGAGCTGCTTATGAGTATTTCGGGGATGTAGTGTGTTCTGATGCTACATACTTGACTAATGAGTATGAATTGCCGTTTGTGAATTTTATTGGGGTCAATCACCATGGACAGTCTATTCTGTTGGGGTGTGCATTGGTGTCGCATGAGGACTCAGATACGTTCAGATGGATTTTTCGCCAGTGGCTTTGTTGCATGGGGAATAAAGCCCCGGTCGGTATCCTTACAGACCAAGCTGCTGCGATGCGTAAGCCGTTGGAAGAAATTATGCCGAACACTATACACAGGCGGTGCATCTGGCATATTATGTCGAAATTTGGTGACAAGCTTGGCAAATTCCCGAAGTAAGTGATCTCATTAAAGTCTTTAACTTTGATATGCAGGTTGTCTTATTAATATGTGGTTTTTGGTTAATATATTTTCACGTTATGGTGTTAAGCAACTAAAGCTAGTGGTAGCAACTAAAGCAAAGGGTACACTAATGACTACTGAAATTGATATTGTTAGTAACTGTAAACCAACTGCAATTTGAAAGCCTCAGTATATGTCCTTGTTGTTCACCTCTAATTCTACCTCTAAATCTAGTGAATGTTTTCTCTTTGACTCACTGTATGAATAAAAGGAGAAAAAGCTATTATTTGATGTAGTGCAAGTTATATCTTGAAATATTATATGTTAAATTTGATATAGAGCAAGTTATTAACTACAATTTGGTTAAATACAATGGTTATATTTCAATCACACATATGGTTTTGTACAGTCCATATTTCACTACAATTTGATATAGTGCAAGTTATTAACTACAATTTGATATAGTGCAAGTTAATATTATATGCTACTGAGCTGTCAATCACATATGGTTTTGTACAGTCCATATTTCACTTAATATTATATGCGCTACTATACATCAGTTTAGTGCTCAAGTTTAGTTTAATATGTTTACTTGCAAGTTTAGTTTAATATGTGATGATGATGTATTAATTTTAGAAATTAATTTTTTTTTTGGGTTGTGGTTATAATTTCTTGACATTGATTAGGTACAATGAGTTTAAAAATAAGCTGAATATTGTGATATATGAAAGCTTCACCGTGGAAGAGTTTGAGGAGAATTGGGTTGCATTGATTAAGTACTACAAGCTGGAAAATAATGAGTGGTTGACTTATATGTTCAAAGAGAGACACATGTGGGTTCCGGCCTTCATGAAAGATTACTTTTGGGCCGGTATGAAAACTACTCAAAGAGTGGAGAACATCAACAGTTTTTTTAATTTGACGGCTTTGTTAATCGGAAAACCAAGTTACATGAAACTGATGCGGATGACAACTGCTCAAAGTATGTTCGCAGGCTGGTGAGTGGGTTCAAGCTGGAGGAGCTGTTTCAACAGATTTACACTGACACAAAATTACAAGAAATACAGGCTGAGCTTTCAAGACTCCTGTACTGCTATTGTCGTGATGAGAAAATGTTGTCCAACACAGTTGTTCAGTATCTGGTTGAAGATAGAGTATGGATTGTTCCACAAGGATACAGGGAGGAGAAAATAACTGATCGCCGACGGTTCTACCGTGTCACGTTTGACTGTGTGACCAAAGAAGTGTCATGCGATTGCAGAAATTTGAAACATTTGGGATTTTGTGCAAACATATGTTCCGGATATTTGATCAGAACTTGGTTTTTGATATACCTGAGAAATATATACTTACGAGGTGGCGGAAGGATGTAAATCGGAGGCATACAAGGGTTAAAGTCCCTTACCATGATCCCTCTCACTCGGCACAAGTCAAGAGATCCTATAAAATGCTAACCACTTTTGAGCCTATATCTGATATTGCTGCCTGTATTGACGATGAAGCCGTTCACCATGTGCTGACTTCTCTAAAAAAGCTGCAGGGTGAAGTAGCAGCGTTGAAGCAGAAGAAAGATCTTCTCAACAAAGCTGAAGAAGTTACTCACTTTCCTGCTGATGGCTCTCAAGTAGAGCAACAGTCATGTTGTGTGGGGTCAACAGTTGCTTCAGTACAAAAACAAGACAACAACCCCCCTTACTCTAATGACACTCCTGCAGCTGGCCAAGAACATGTTACAAACCTCTCTGTTGATGCTGATAACATTCATTGGTCTCAACAACATGCACCACCACCTATTGCCCCAAAGAAATCGATTATTCTTGACCCAGTTGTACAGATTAAGCGTAGAGGGCGACCAAAAGGTAGCAGGAACAAAACCCTTGCAGAAATGGGCTACAAAAAGGCACAGCCAAAGGAGAAACAACCCGATGTATGCTTCGTTTTAATTTCAATCCTTTAAATTTAATCAGTTTAGTGCACTTAAAAAGCTTAATTGATTGCTATTTTGCAGCATTCTGCTCAATTTATTCTTCAAACCTACTACCCATCGTCTTTTAATGGGAATATAATGGTAAGCTCTTTTATCAGTTAAGTTTCGATTTATTCGACATTAGAAGTTGCTATTTTTGTGATTGTTGTTAGTTCTAATACATTCCTCTCTGACAGGAAAAAAAGGAAACGTTGGCTGGAAGAACATGGTGTGGAAGAGAACATGGAGCTGAATCTTAATGACGATGACAGTGAATGTACTCCTCAAATGGATGTTATTGGCACAGAAAGCGGTGAGGATTCTTTTGAATTCTGAAATTATAACTTAGGATGGCTGGATGAACAACAAGGCCTCTATTGGGATTGTACTCTCATGAATCAATCATCATATTTTTAGGATTATATCTATGGTTTTTGTAATTCACAATGCTGAAGTTGTTGATGTATTTGTTGTGCTATATATGAGTAGTGTATTAGGATTGAGTAAAATATGAATTGACTCTATTAGTTTGCTCTGATACATTATGCTTCATGTTGTCTTGTGCCTTTGCTTATGATTCATTTTGGGTTAGTTTGCTCTGATTCATTTTGCTTCTGGATTCATTTTAGGTCATTTTTCTCTGATACATTTTGGGTTAGTTTGCAGTTTGGTCTGATATGTTTTGCTCTGATACTTTAGTTATACTTTGCTCTGATACATTTTGCTTCATGCTGTCTTGTGCCTTTGCTTATGATTCATTATTGGTAAATCCTGAAATTAATCTGGTAATGGGGTTAGTTTTCTTCGACAATTTTTGCTTCTTGTTGGGTTGTGCCTTTTGCTTGTGATTCATTATTGTTAATTTAGAATTTATTCTTGAAATGGGTTAGTTTTTTCTGATACAAGTTGCTTCATGCCGTGTCTTTGCTTTTGATTCATTATTGTTAATATGCGAATACCCCAAACCATTCAAACAAATTCACCCTTTAGCCCATGAGGAACATTTATACATCCTTGATGGACTTTGGCCCACATTATTGGACTTTGATTCATTATTGCTAATATGCGAATACCCCAAACAAATTCACCCTTAGCCCATGATCGAGGAACATTTATGCATCGATTGAAATGGGCTGGCCCGCATTTGATAATATTGTCCATAATTCAACCAACAAGGAATAACAAACTTCACAAAATACATGTTGTGGCTCAGTAAAGATAGATTACTGACAAAACATTGGAATAAGAAACCTAACCGATTTCACTAATACATGAATCACAACATTCGTTACATAAATCAAGGCTTTTTTGGCAAAATATTGAACCAAAACAACCACTTTAGTTATAGTTAGTCCCAATCCTAGTAGGTCATGTAGTTGAACCCCGGAATATCACTTTCATCCCGCATATCCATAATTGCTGGTATATATTGCTTAAGTCGGTAGCTAAGCTAGGCTGTAGTATTAACACAAAGAAATGAATTTGGATCAACTATATTGCTTAAGTGATTGCTAATTGCGTAAAATTAATTTTGAGAATACGGTGGGAAGTAGAAAACTTACTATTGTAGTGAGGGATACGATACGACCGTATATAGTGGATTGTCTATGCATGAGATATGGCTCTACCCTGAAATCCCATGCTACCAAGACCCTGCCTAATCCAATGTTTGGTCCGAAGGCTTCAATCCTGTATTTGCCTCCCATATTCTGAGTTATTTCATTTAACATTGGCAGTGCAGCCCTAGACTCCGTTAGCACAAACAACATTGGATTAAAAGACTCAACCAGACGGGCAAAATTTTCCTTAAATGATGGACGATGGGCGCTTCTAGTATTCCAAACAATCACCACATAACCCTTGTCAAACCTTTTTTCATTTGTGAATCTATCACTCTTTTCTGACCTCACTTTAACATTGAAATACCTGGTACTACTTGCAGCTTTAATGCTCGCATCCACATCAACTTCAAATTCAATGCATGACAAATTATTTCTAATCTCCATCACATGGACTCCAGCTCTACTCGCCCCCATTATTAAATCCCGTGTCTCTAAAGGCAGGCTATACTTAGGTAGGTGGTTTGTGTTTATCTCAATCTTCAAATCAAAAATTGGTTTTATGTCTCGAGAAATGTACTCAGGTAACCCTTGGCAATAACGTTCGCAGAACCATTTCAAGAATACAACACCTCCTTTATGCATGTACGCCTCCACATCTTCAATAATTGGTGTATATGCGGCTCGAACATCATTTGGACCCAACCGCATTACTCTCCACGGCTGGCTGAACCACAAGAGGTGTTAGGGGAATTGCACAACTCTTTGTGGAGAACTGCAGTTGGGATCTTCATGTAATCAGAGAGCTCATTCTCGCTATAGAAATATTCAACATTATTGAAATCTAATTCAGACTCGGTTGTAGAGTATATGGGTTTGAAGTACATGGTTGGATGTTTTGGATGGTATTGCACCATCTTCAACCTATTTGTGAGTTGTAGCTGGGCATTTTGAGAGGTGATAGATTTTCGACTCCCAAGCATGGTTTAAGGTGGGTTGCTAAGTGTCTTCAATAATGAAATGTATTATGCTATATGTGCTATATGGGGACACAACAAGTTATTTGTGCAGAAACACATGACGTGTCATATTAATTTAAATATTTTTTGTATTTTAATTTTTTTGTTTATTGATTTATTTGCATTGATATTGGTGTATATTTCTAAAAAAATATTAATGAAAGTATATAAAGCACGAAGTTTGTCAAATAGATGATTAATTAATTGTAAAAGTAAAATTAAAATTTGACTTTAAATGAATTAAGTAAAGTTAGAAGGTGAGTTTTTACAGTCATATTTGTTTTTTTTGTATGAAATATTGATCAATTATAAGTATAACTTTAATAATTAATGATAACTTTAATAGTTAATGGCATAGTTTGTGTTACGAAAATAACTACGGCTGGTTGATGTATTTAATCGAGGCACCCCTCATTTTCAAGGGCTCGTTAGAATAGAAAAAGATTATTAAAAAAATAATAATAAATTTAATTAAAAACAAATTAATACACCAATAGGGGTTGATTTAGTGCAATACAAGCTACCTCATCTACTGCCTACTCCTAGTCCTTTCATCCTAGATATATGTACAACAAAAAATCTTCTTTTTAGATTACCCATGTACACTTTATTCCCTTTTCCATAAAATGGTGGTGCATAAATCAGACCACTTTATTTCTTTTGCTTGTTTGTTATATGGTTTCTGCATTTAACAACTTCTAGCTTCAACTTATCAACATTTATATTCTATTTTCTGCACATTAGCATTTTACCATTTTTTCTCTTTCAATGGCACATAGAGGTAAAAAATGTAACTGTGGCCTCCCTATTTCAAAGAGAACTTCATGGACGCATGATAATTTCGGTAGGAGATTCTTGGCATGCAAGTTCTACAACTTTGAAACAGGCCAATGGGGTTGCGATTACTTTGAATGGTATGATGAAGATATTTCAGACTGGCAAAGGGATGTTACCAATGTACTTTTGAGTGAAAAACACAAGCTGAACACCGATCTTACCGTCCTCAAAAGCCGGGTGATTTGCATGGAGCATGAGATTAAAAGGCTTGTTCAAGAGAATGATCAACTCAAGAAGAAGACTGGAATGGCTATAGTTAATTGTAATCAATTTGGGAATGTAATGTTTATTTGTGCAGTTATCTCCTTTTTAATTAGTTACATCACAATCAAACTAGTTAGCTAATAAGAGGGTTTAATGGGCCACTATTATCTTGCATAATTTCTTATCAGATGGTTGTAACTCTTAAATGTGACATTCCTAGATCTTATTGTTGTTTCCAAATTGCATTCCATGTTAATTGTTATTCAATTTTTCTTTGTCATTCCACAAATAGAATCAAGTTCATATAAACCAGTGATTTCTCTTTTAAGATAAACCTTTGTTAAAAACATCATATATGGATAAAAAAATAAAAAAAATATCAAAAAGTTTATATATGGGATTTTTTTTTTTGAATATAAATGAGTTATTTGTTTAAGATAAATGAGTTATTTGTTTACAATAAAGTATGTTAATATATCGTATTAGGAGTAATCAAAACTATTTAAAAAAAGCTACAAGTCAATATAAATCAGTCTTTTGTTTAAGATAAAGCATGTTATTATATCATTTTTGGATTAATCAAAACTATTTTAATGATAAAAAAAAAAAAAAAAAAAAAAAAAAAAACCTAGTCCATAAAAAGTAAAAAATCAGTAATGTGTTTAAGATAAAGCATGTTTAAGATAAAAAGTAAAAAATCAAGTCCATAAAAATCATTTATTTGTTTAAGATAAAGGATGTTAAAACATCATATTTCGATTAATCTGATCTTTTAAAAGAAATCAAAAATTCAAATCCATATAAATCAGTAATTTGTTTAAGATAAAGCATGTTAATATATCATATTTGTATGAATTTGTATAAAATAAAAATCAAATCCTTAATCTTCATGTTAATATACGGCATGTAAATATATCATAATAGGTTCAATATAAAATGAAAATAGTCAACTCAATAACACAATCATCAACACAACATTACTACTAATTCATTAACCATTAATAAAAGCTACAAACCACGATCATTGTTCAACACATTAGAGAGCATATTTTACTTAACTAAAGCATAAAATAAGTACTAATCCTCGAAAGGATTTTTAGGATACATAATAATCACCATAGCCGAGAAATAAATCATTCAAACATCGAAATGCAAATCAAGCCTTTACTAATTAACTGCATCCTCGACAACCTTTGAAGTCGAACCAACCTCCACAGCCTTCGACGTGGAACCAACCTCCTCCACTCCAACCCCCAGGGTACTCACCACAGCTGCTTTTGCCTGTAATAAGATAAAAAATAAAATTAAAACAAATTACTTAAAGGATTTAATAAATTAATTAGAGTAAGATAAAACAAATTACCTTGATTGATGCAACAACACGAAAAGGGAAGCTAGTTGAACCGGCCACCGTGACTTCGTCTTGTTCCGCCCTGCGCTTATCCCACATAAAGATCACCCCATCTTTCAATCCCACACTCTCATCAATATTCCAGCCCAATTGATCCCCTAAACTTCCAGCTAGTTTCCCAAAGTTAATCTCAGAAACAATGACAACAACAGGATTGTGAATATCCATCATCTTCTTAAAGTTAGACTCAAATGACGGCCTAGTAACTTCCCTAGCATTCCATATAATACAACTTGAACCTAGATCAAAGGCTAACTCTCCTTTCTTAATTTCAGGAATTAAGGTCACTTGGGAATACCTATCACAAGTGTGGGAATCAGACTCCCAATTGCTATAGAAAAGTCAATATGGGTCAGAGGAGAAAATAGGTAAAAAATTTGAAGACCATCAGTGTAACATCCCATTTCAATTTTCAACCTACTGTCACCTAAGGCATAAACTGGTCCATTAAAGCCTAGAATAGGTTCTGGGTCAACAAATCCTTGCAGAAACTTAGTAATAAGTTTTGTGTTACTAGACTTTGGGAACTCAAAATTAAAATTATGCAGCTTAACAAACACTTCATTAACATTAATTCGACCCACTATGTCAAACAAATTGGGGATATGGGCTGGTGTTTTAATACCTTTAGGCGAAACCATAACCATCCCCTTCAGCTTATCCTCCCATGGACTTTCTGGACTGCGAAAGATGTCGCGCAACACTTCATCTTTCAGGCGTAACAGCAGCTTACTCTCGGTTTCAACATAGTATGTGTATTTGTTGAAGTCGATTTCCTGTTTCCCATCGAAGTTGGGCTCCCAGAAACACATTTCATCTGTGGTGGGAACGAGATAGCAACCACGAGGGAAAACTGGGTTAGCAGGGTCAAAGGCAGCCATTTTTGGGTTGATTGGCAACGTGGAGTTCTGGGTGGAGTTCTGGGTGGAGTTTTAGTTTTTAAATTTTTTAAAATAAGTCAGAGAGGAATGAACTGAGGTTTTGTTGTGTAAGGTGTAGCCTACAAATCTTTCCTTTTATAGGCAATATTCGCGTCTCCTAAAATACCCTTACCCTAAAATACCAAAAATACCCTTAACCCTAAACCCTAAACCCTAACCCCCAAACCCTAAACCCTAACCCCAAACTCCATACCATAATCCACAAAACACCCCTAAAGATAACTAGAATATGTTAAATAAACCTTACTATAAAACATATTACATTCTTAATTGAGTCTTAAGAGTGATTATTTATTTAATGTTTGTGAATTGAAGGTGTCCATAATTTGGATTAAAATCGAGTCGTGTTTTTATTGTGAATGATTATAAGTATCCATTGGAGGGGTCGACAATCCATAACTTGGATTTAAATTGAAATCCAATCCAATCTTAATAGAAAATTGGCCTAAAATATCGATCTTGGATTTTATTAAAATGTAGCTCAAAATCTAAAACTTACTACTTCTTAAACAATCACAATTTATTCAATTTTAACAAAGTTTTATTTTAATAAAAAATCGCAATTTTTAAAAATCCAAATGAGGAACTTTACTTTGGATTGGATTGTCATGGTTAAGATTGGTAATCGATATGATTGTTAAATTATAAACTTCCAATTAAAAAATCACAATCATATCGATTGTCACACTTTAGGTTTCGATTGTTCAAGGATAATTTACTAGTATTAACTTGCGGTAGTAATTAGCAAATTTTCCATTGTTCAATGAAATATTGCTTGATCGAGACTAGAGCTTCAATGAAATGTTGCTTGATCCAGACTAGAATTTCAACCCAAGTTGTTACAAACCCCCAAATTCAACCCGACTTGTTATCTGATGTTGGTATTGAAACCCCAAATTGAATCCTAGCCCTATTCCTTCAATATTGCACCGAACCCAAAATGACCCGACTTGATTATAACCCGCACATTATTCACTTACTTGAACCAAATCCGATTAGAACCAGAGATTGAACCAAACCCGATTAGAACGAGAGAATGAGTCAACCTAACTATAACCCGTAAATACTTGACTTCAACCGAACCCGAGAACGACCTTAACTCGTTTTAATGTAACCTGACCTTTTACTAACCGGACCCAAATACGATAAGCTGTAGGACCCGACGTGACCCAACTCGAGCATACCCCAACCCGACTAGCATATGTTGTAACATTTTTGTGGTTTTAATTTCTTGCTATTATGTATCCTATTCCGTAACACAATATTATTATATCTCAAACAATCTTTATAGCCTAAGACTCTAATTATTGTCAAATCATTTCTTGCAATTATATATCCTATTCCGTAACACAATATTATTCTATCTCAAACAATCTTTATAGCCTAAGACTCTAATTTTTGTCAAATCATCTCTTGCTATTATGTATCCTATTCCGTAACACAATATTATTATATCTCAAACAATCTTTATAGCCTAAGACTCTAATTTTTGTCAAATCATTTCTTGCAATTATATATCCTATTCCGTAACACAATATTATTATATCTCAAACAATCTTTATAGCCTAAGACTCTGATTTTTGTCAAATAATTTCTTGCAATTATATATCATATTCTGTAATGCAATATTATTAAACCTCAAACAATCTTTATAGCCTAAGACTCTAATTTTTTGTAAAATAATTTCTTGCTATAATGTATCCTATTTCCCTATTTCCCTATTTCTTAAAACCATATTATTAAATCTCATACAATTTTTGGAACCAGATCACATAATTTTGTACTTGTCACGTTAAATATATTTGGAAGAAAATACTATCAATGCTTATCTTATTCTATTTTGTCTTATATGGTTATCCTTTTTTTTGGACAAACACTTTGGAAACAACAGTCACTTTGGAAACATATTAAACTTTTACAACAATTTATACAGCTGCATACCTAGTAATTTTCATCATTATGGAAATTGAAACACGGCTTATAGGTTGTACTAGTTATTGCCATCAGTTTTGCTTCGTTTACAGCAAAATTGAAACGATAATGCCATCATAAAATATTTCTCTGCAGCAAAATCCAAATGAGATGTCATTTCCATCAACCATCATATTTTAAAGAAGCCGTGTTTCTTCATGAATTGTCAACATCATATTTTAAAAAAGATCATATTTTTTTTGTTGACAAAACCAAATATTTGAGACACTTTTCTTTCAATTAATTTTCGGATATTTTTAATATACTACTAATTTTTTGTTTTCTCAATTTTAATTCCCCCGTTATAGAATTATTAGAGTAAAGTAAATTAATACCTTGTAATCTCCAGTAAAAAAATATAAATAAATAAAATTGTAATCTAAAATTATTTACGAAATTTTTAATCAACAATAATTGATCCGTTCAAAAAATAAATACATAAAAACTTCGAAAATAATTGTTGAAATAATAATGAAGTGAAGAATTTAATCAATATTAATTACATACGATTTATACATCAATATTAACAATATCAAGGTTATTTTTCATACATCAACAACACCTGCATTACTAATTATAAAACTGCACCCATCATTTTCTAATACGGGGGATGATAACAACGATATTGTTCTATCCCACCCTCCAGTACTGTTATTGTACGTCTTTGACAAAAATATCCTTGTAGAAATATTATTAGACCAAAATTTTCCAAGTGCAGCAGGTCGCACCTTCCTCCCGTTTGACATTATCATATTGCTACCACTGTTGTACTCATACTGGGATACTTCTATAACATCATTGACAGCTACAACAACAAGATCATATTTCTTTGCCAACAACCTAAGTCCATTTGATACCACCTTCACAATTGCGGTCCTTTCCATCATAGACTCTCTTGTGTTAGTAAAATGAAAATGACATATACTTGAGATTGAGTCAATGACAACAACTCGGTAATGGCCTAGAGTACCTATAGGGCTTTGTAAGAATGTTTCAAGCCATTGCACGGTTTCTACTAGATTGTGAGGAGAATCTACCTTTTTTACTAATACTGTCTCTAAAGGGTGCTGACCTTGTGTTGGTGGTGAACCAAAAACATGCGGGATAATTCCATTCATTCGAGCGGATGGAAATAGACCGATTGACTGTATGTACACCGACGAACATCCTAAACCCCAAAGTGACGGAGCCAACTGAGCAGCTAACATCATTTGCAAGCACAACTGTGTCTTCCCGGTTCCCTGATCACCACATATCTCAGTGATATGACCTGAACGAAACCCTCCATTTAAAATATTGTCTATCGAAGAGCACCCACTACTACGTACTGGTGTGCATTTTCTGGAATCACAATCCTCTTTATAAGCTTTTTATTGGATATTTGTCTTAAAATAACCCCCTTCACACACTTATATATAGTAGTGACCAACTCATATATTACATCCCTGTTGCAAACAAGAATTCGAACCTATTTGTGTCCTATTCATGTATTGTATTTGTCTTTGCCAAATTCATTTTTTTTAAAAGAATTTCATACTAAATAGACATTGTTGTACTACTTTTAAACATTTTCAATCAAGATAGCTTATTCTACTACCGTAACCTAATAAATTAAACATTTTCAATCAAGGTAGCTTATTCTACTACAATAATCCATTTTTTTTTTTTTTTCAAAAACTACAATTTCAAATAAGTCCCTATATTCATAATTTTCTAAATGTTTTTCTGTAATGCAAACCTTTGCTAAATGGGTTCATGTAAATCCATTTTATTGAGTTTTTATTCATAAATGGGTTCATGAATATCCTTTGGTAAAAGATTTATCTTCAGACTTTGGAAAATTCAAACTTACTTTTTATAGCTCAAAAAGTCCAACTATGTGACAACTCATAATCATAATAACAAGTTAGCTGATTGATTGGGTGTAGTAGGTATAGATTACCGTCATTTTGAGGCTCATTGCAGCAAGTAATAAAATTTTCTCCATCAAAAAACAATATACACGACTTCACATGTAACTTTATAGACAAATATATTTACTTTGAGACCACTCTCAACGGTGAGCAAAAAAAATGCTCACCCACTCTCTCTCTACCCACTTTCTCTCTCAACAAATTATTTTTGCTCATGGCCAAATTTTTTTCACATTTTCTCTCCCAATGGTGAGCAAAAAAAATGCCCACCCACCACTCTCTCTCTCTTACTTTTTCAATACCCCACCATTACTTTCTCTCTCCTACACAACACTTCTTTATTTATTTATTTCATTTATATTTTAACAATGTTACTCCAAATTTAACATTTTTATTTATTTTTTTATTTTTGTCTTTTTATCGTTAAAATTTGTCGTAAAATTAAGTACGGTATATAAAAAAATTGTAAAAAAAAGCTCAAAATTTGTTAAATGTTTTTATTTATTATAAAAGCAGTACAATACTAGAAACCAATTACATTTGCAACGTCATGCGTAATTAAACTTAACAACAACTAAAAAATAACTCGACTGCGTAAGGAAAAGTAGCTATGCCATAGTACTTGGCTTTATTTAAGTCGTCTAATTTCTCCCTAATTACGTGGCCCGTATCGTTGCCAAATATGTTCGACTAAATCACGTTTCAGAGATAGATGAATTTCTCTGTCACGGAGGGTAGCTTTTCGCTGTAGAAATGCATTGAAGTCAAAGTTGGTAGGTCGGCCTACGTTGAATTCAAACGGTGGCGTTGTGGATGTTGATGCTGGTGTTGATTCTTGTTGCTCTTCTTCGTAGAAGGCTCTCAGAACTTCGGCTCGAGTGTAGTTGTGGCGCTCATCTTCAACTACAAATTTAGTAATGTATGGAGAAAATATCAACAACTTTCTTCAATTACATAATGCAATTAAACAACATGGTTTTCAATATTTTTTTTTTCAAAAAAAACACACATATAATAATTTTAATACATAACTAAATTTATATATTAGAAAAAAAAGCAAATATATCAAATAAATGCAACACTTTTTTTACTACAAATTTAGTAATGTATGGAGAAAATATCAACAACTTTCTTCAATTGGGTTTTTCAATTAAGTAAACATGGCATATAATATTTTTTTTTTCAAAAAAACACACATATACTAATTTTAATACATAACTTAATATTAGAAAAAAAAAAAGTAACCAATAAATGCAACACTTTTTTTACTACAAATTTAGTAATGTATGGAGAACATATCAACAACTTTCTTCAATTACATAATGCAATTAAACAACATGGCATACAATATTTTTTTTTTTCAAAAAATCACATATATACTAATTTTATTACATAACTGAATTTAAATAATAAGAAAAATAAAAAAAAAATTACCTCAATATGGGTGTATTGCAACAAAAATGCTCTTCAACAAATTTAAAATGCTTAAGAAAATAAAAAAGTGGAGGATTTTAAGTGATTTCCAAAATATATCAAAATATATCAAAATGCATGTCTATTTTTAGAGAATTTAATTTTATGACCGTTGGTAATTTTTTTTTTTTTTTTACCAAAAATATTTTTCAGAAAATGCATTACAAACAATATTACCGTTGTAAAACGACTAATTTTTTCATTGGCCAAGCTCCTGCAGTACGCCACGTGTCGCGCGCCTATTGGCTGGCTTACTGACGTGAACAGTAGCCGGTTTTATTTATTTATTTATTTTTTACGTCAAAACGGCGCGTTTTGGCCAGCACCATTAAGGCTGCTAGCCCAAAACGCGTCGTTTTGATGGTCTGGCAGCCAAATTTTTTTAAGCTTATTTGCAACATGTGGGCCCCACTTCCAGCACTGTTCATCAATTAAAATGCCCATACTTTGGGCATTTTCATTTATGCCCATGGGCTTTTTCTTGCATTTTTGGATTTGCTCACTATTGTGGGTGATGAGCATATTTTTTGCTCACAAAATATGCCCATGAGTAAATATTTTGCTCATGGTTGTGAGTGCTCTGACAATGTCAATTCAGCGAAGTTTTTGGTTTATTACCATTGGTTTATTTACTCACAGTATTTAAGGAGACGAGCATGCGGACAATTTAGATAAATCACAGTTTAGATTATATTTTTCACATGTTAGATTATATTATTTACAATTTAGATAAATCACAGTTTAGATTATATTTTTTTTACGATTTAGATAAATCACAAAGTTACATAAATCACAATTTAGATAAATTCCCAATTTAAATAACTATTATCTAATTTTTGATGTTAATCATAATTATCTTTTTTAAATAACTATTATCTACGTTGATTATATTTTTTTTAACAATTAACAACTACAAATTGACTTTACACCTTAACTCATAACAATTAGCCTTAAATTAATCACGTATAGTCAATATAATATGGATTAGCTTTTTAGAAGCCAATAATTTATGTTCCATAGCCTATTTATAAGCCAATAATTTCTGTTATTTTTTTTACTTTGATTTGTGATTTTTTACTTAGATTAAATTTTTTTAACAAATAAAAAGTACAAATTGACTTTATACCATTAATCACGTATTATCAATATAATATTGGTAGTGTTTATATAATATTAGCCTTTTTAAAACAATTTAGAAGCCGATAATTCCTGTTCATAGTTTCTTTTTATTTTTTGTACTTTTGCTTAGTATTTTTTTACTTTGATTATCTTTTTTTAACAACTTATAAGTACATATTGTTAATATAATATTATCTTCTTAAAAACTATTTAAAAGTAGATAATTTTTCTACGTAAATACATGATTAGTATTTTTTTAACTTGGATTATTAGCAGGATTGTTTATTAAAATTTTGACCTTAGTACGTAGTTGTATGGTGTTTAAATTTGGAGCACTTACTTTGGCTACCTTGAACTCTTAGTGTCAACATTATATGCAATGAGAGGTTAAACTGTTATAATAAAGTTCATGACACCACAGCGAATGATATGATGACACATATGCACCTTTTATGGCAAATCTTCGACCCTTGTTCTTCATATTAGGGTTTCTCCATGTTTTGTTAAAAACCATATAAATATAACTTTAGAGCACAACAACTTCATTATTCCTGTTTTATTGCGAACACCTCCAACCCAAAAACTACAATGGCTTCGTCGTCCCAAATGTCTATGGTCCCTGACCAAGACGGTGGTGGTGGTGGAGACAAAAGTGATGCCACTTCACCGCCTAAGAAACGACTAAAAAGCCTCGACAAACAAAAAAAAAACCCATGAAAAAAAAGCATCACAAAACCAAAAGTCTGTATGCCAAAATCCTCAAAAGAAATGCTCTTTTTCGTAAAGATATTCCAGTCTCTACACTTACTCAACGCCTATCTAAGCAGATGGGTTTCCCTGTAACTTTCCCAAGCCTCGAACGGGCTTTTGCTACCACTTCTGCAACTTGTAACATTTATGGAGCACAACCAGTTCATTCTGATAATCCTATTGCAGGTCATCAAGTGCACAACAATGTCAAACAGGAACAAGCACAAGATGGAAGGTCCGTAGAGCAAGACAGTGAGCAAAGTGATGCCGTGATAGACCTAACTGTTCCAGATAATTCCATGTTCGACTCCATTTTCGTCCTTGAAGGGACCGAGGATGACATGGACATCAATGCTGATGATGATGTCCATAAGGTCGTGGTTGATCTGGACATCCATGGAGCATATGTACCTCCTCCTACTGGTGAGGCTGTATACATTATTACAGTCAAGAGCCAGAGCAGCCACGAGCCCGGGGTCAAGTATGCTATAAGGGAGTCCCAAAGTTTCAGGGTTGTCTACAAGGACTACGCCAACAAAGTTGACTACAAGGTGGATACGGATCAGACCATTAAGAAGAATGGTGTTGTCATCCCACCTCAAGCAACTGCATCCGAGGTAGGGATTGTTGGTGGGGATGTCTTGATCGTTCATGGGAAGGTAAACAATTATTTAATATATATTTTCACGTGTATTACGTTATTAAAGTTAATTTTTTTTTCAAAATTTGTTATATATAATATTGACTTTACTTTTGTTCATGATGCTATATTAACCTTTTTATAACCTTTTTAATTATAAATTCTCTTAAATTAAAAATTCGACAGAGCCCCGAGGACAATATGGACACCCGTCGGAAGCTCTTTTGGATAAAGGATGTGAAGACTGAACCGAGGAAGCGCAAGATTTCTGCCAAACTGAATACAAAGCTTTGGAGGTTGTATGAGATGTGGG